AAAAAAAAAAAAAAAAAAAATTGTGGTAAAAATCAGTTTAGCACTGTGTTTGACTAATTTTGGCTAGATTCAAACAAGTTAAAGAATGAGAAACAAAATCCTCCTCCCCTCCGCCCCTCCCAAAATGAAAAAAATAAAAAAATTGTGGTAAAACGCAGTTTAGCATTGTGTTTGACTATATTCATTTGGCTAGAGGCATGCATGTTAAAGTGAGAGTAACAAAATAACAACTAAAAACAATGGTGGTATAAAGCAGTTTAGCACTGTGTTTAATTATATCCATTTTGACTGGAGTGAATATGTTCAGTAATCCGTAATAACGAATTACTAATTTGTAATTACGGATTACTAATCCGTAATAACGAATTAGCTAATTCGTAATTACGGATTAGTAATCCGTAATAACGAATTAAATTACTGAACATATACTTTATTGGCACTAATGGGCTTTCGTAGTACGTGGTAGAAAGCAGTTTAGTGTTTGACTATATCCATTTTGGCTGGAGTCAAGCATGTTAAGGAATGAGTAACAAAACGACAAAAAATATATTAAAAGCAGTTTTAAAGTATAAACTTTAAAATTTAGCACTGTGTTTCACTATACCCATTTTGGCTAGAGTCAAGCATGGTAAATTAATACAGTACAGTAATACAGTAATTGCTATAATTGTATCGCGCCTTTCCCTTGCTGTTATGAAAACCTCTATTATAACAATTAAACACAAAAAAAGAATGTCGATACAGAAAAGTGACAGTTGGACAAACAAGTACCTCTATTGAGTGCACGTATAAAAGGATTAAGATATAAGATAAGATTCAATTGGATGATTATTTAAAAGTTTAAAGGTATAGCAATTGAATGAAAAACGAGGTATAACGAAATAACAAACGTTGAGAGACGTGTCGTACCAGCAGGGATACGTTGGTAAAAAGAAAACACATATTTTTAACGCTCTGTAACCTCTGTGTGACGCGCGCACACATTATATTCGCGCACCTTTGTCATGGTCCTGCATTTATATAGTGCATACTACACAATATCTCTATAGGCCTTTATATCCAGTGTCAAAGACAAGAATTAACGAAAGCAAACAAACTAAAAACAAGAACAAAACAGATTAGAATTGTAAGAAAAAAAGTGATTTTAACCAGAGGATTTAGAAAGACAAGAGGTAGAAAAGACCTTACAAATTTAGAGAATTTATTCCACAACTTTGATGCAGCAACAGAGAAGGATTTATCACCATAGGTTTTCAACCGAACAGAAGGAAAATCTACAATGATTCAACTACATCCTGTGGATCTACGTATTCGTCGTACTCTCTGTCTCTTATACACATCTAGATGTGTATAAGAGACAGATATATGCATGAAAGGCAAATGGAAAACTTTTATTTTTATGTTCAATTTGGATTGTAGTTCATGAAACAGCACTTCAAATTTTTACCAATTATCCAACTTATATTTCTCTCCCTTTCTGAATACTCTCAATGAATTACTTCTAATCGACCCTAATTCCAAATTTTCTTCCAATACCAAAAGCATTTTCCAATATTAGATCCAAATGAGCTCCCTATTCATAATTTGACTGACTGGCTTTCCACTATCCATTTCGACATCGGATGCATTTAAGAAATCTCGATCATATGAAGAAGCTTGTAACACCACTTAATTTACATTTTCATATTATATTGGAGTGGAAAACGTGCCTCAAATTATGACAAACCACCCCTTTCTCTCGTCCAACTTCCTAATTATTATTTTGTGTTCAATCATAAAACTCACAAAGACTGTTGTGGGGGGGGGGGGGGGGGTAGCAGTATTTATAGAATATTTTTTATCACTGAAACTTATAGATTCAATATACGGCAAATAAAACTATAGGCCTATGCTAAATTTCTGCATTATCCCTTTGCCGCTAACGAAAAAAGTTTTAAACAATCTTTGAATATAATCTACTAAAACTCAACATTGTCAAAATACATTTTTTAAACATAAATGTGATATAAAGACAACCTAGGTGAACATGGATATAGTCAACCTCACTGTTAAACTGTTTTATACAACACTTGCTTTTTTTTTGTGATTTTGTTACTCATTCTTTACATGCTCGACAATAGCCAGTATGGATATGGTCTAACACAGTGCTAAACTGCTCCATACTATTGTTTTTATTGCTTTTTTGTGATTTTGTTACTCATTTTTTAATGCTTGATAGAGGAGGAGTTAGTTACTCCGAAATCCGAATATATCTGCGCCCGCCGCCAAAAACCTCCGAATTTTGAGGTTTTGTGTATGCCTATACTATTTATAGGCATACGCGAAAACTTCAAAATCAGAGTTTTCAAACGTTCAATCAAACCTCCGATTTCGAAGTTTCTTTGTACCATTTTTAATAATTAAACAAGCTTTCTTTGTATAGAGGAATACTTTTAGTCAACCAACTCGAAGGTTATTTCGAAGGTTTTGCGTAGGCCTACGCAAAAGCTCCAAAATCGAAGTTTAAAACTGTTATTCAACGCTCTGATTTCGGAGGCTTTGCGTAATATGAGCGAAAACTCGATTTTTTTTTCGACCTCGGAGGTTTTGCATACATAGGCCTACGCGAAAACTCCAAAATCGCAGTTTTTAAACTTCAAACCTCCGATTTCGGAGTTTGTGCGTACTATTTAATTATTAAACAGGCTTTTTCTATATATAGAGAGACAAACTGTTAATAAACCATCCGATTTCATAGGTTTTGCGTACTGTACACGAAAACTCAAAAATTAGGGAGGTCTAAACTTTAATTCAGCTCTCAGAAATCGGAGTTTCTCCGGCGGAGAGCACAGATACTTGACTCTAGCCAAAATGGATATAGTCAAACACAGTGCTAAACTGCTTTCTACCACAATTTTTTTTTGGGAGAGGGGAGGGGGATTTTGTTACTCATTCTTTAACATGCTTGACTCTAGCCAAAATGGATATAGTCAAACACAGTGCTAAACTGCTTTCTACCACAATTATTATTATTTTTTTTTGGGAGGGGGAGGGGGATTTTGTTACCCATTCTTTAACATGGTTGACTCTAGCCAAAATGGATATAGTCAAACACAGTGCTAAACTGCATTTTACCACCATTTTTTTTAATTTGGGAGAGGGGAGGGAGATTTTCTTACTCATTCTTTAACATGGTTGACTCTAGCCCAAATGGATATAGTCAAACACAGTTCTAAACTGCTTTCTACCACAATTTTTTTTTATTTTTTTTTTTTTGGGAGAGGGGAGGGGGATTTTGTTACTCATTCTTTAACATGGTTGACTCTAGCCAAAATGGATATAGTCAAACACGGTGCTAAACTGCTTTCTACCACAATTTTTTTTTCTTTGGGAGAGGGTTTTTGGATTTTGTTACTCATTCTTTAACATGGTTGACTCTAGCCAAAATGGATATAGTCAAACACAGTGCTAAACTGCTTTCTACCACAATTATTTTTTTTGTTGGGAGAAGGGAGGGGGGTTTTGTTACTCATTCTTTAACATGCTTGACTCTAGCCAAAATGGATATAGTCAAACACAGTGCTAAACTGCATTTAACCACCATTTTTTTTTAATTTGGGAGAGGGGAGGGAATTTTTCTTACTCATTCTTTAACATGGTTGACTCTAGCCAAAATGGATATAGTCAAACACAGTTCTAAACTGCTTTCTACCACATTTTTTTTTTTTGGGAGAGGGGAGGGAGATTTTGTTACTCATTCTTTAACATGGTTGACTCTAGCCAAAATGGATATAGTCAAACACAGTGCTAAACTGCTTTCTACCACAATCATTTTTTTGGGGGGAGAGGGGAGGGGGGATTTTGTTACTCATTCTTTAACATGCTTGACTCTAGCCAAAATGGATATAGTCAAACACATTGCTAAGCCGCTTTCTACCACAATTATTTATTTTTTTTATTTTGGGAGAGGGGAGGGAGATTTTGTTACTCATTCGTTTACATGCTTGAGTCTAGTCAAAGTGGATATAGTCAAGCACAGTGCTAAACTGCTTTTTACCACAATTGCTTTTTTCTTTTTTTTTTTGGGTGGGGGGATGTGTGGATTTTGGTACTCATTCTTTAACATGCTTGACTCTAACCAAGAATAGTCAAACACAGTGCTAAACTGCTTTTTACTACATTTTTTTTTATTTGAGAGAGGGGAGGGGGATTTTGTTACTCATTCTTTAACATGGTTGACTCTAGCCAAAAAGGATATAGTCAAACACAGTGCTAAACTGCTTTCTACCACAATTATTATTTTTTTTTGGGGAGAGGGGAGGGGGATTTTGTTACTCATTCTTTAACATGCTTGACTGTAGCCAAAATGGATATAGTCAAACACAGTGCTAAACTGGTTTTTACCACAATTGTTTTTATGGGGTTTTTTTGTGATTTTGTTGCTCATTTTTTAACATGCTTAACTCTAGCCAAATTGGATATAGTCAAACCCAGTGCTAAACTGATTTATACCACAATTGATTTTAATTTTATTATTATTATTATTTTTATTATTATTATTATTATTATTATTATTATTATTATTATTATTATTATTATTATTATTATTATTATTATTAATATTATTACTTTGTTATACTTTCTTTAACATGCTTAACTCTAGCCAAAATGGATATAAACTGCTTTATACCACCATTGTTTTCAATTTATTTTGTGATTGTTGTTCATTCTTTTAACATGCTTGATTATAGCCAAACTTGATATAATCAAACACAATGATAAAGTAGTTTATACCTTAATTATTTTAATATATATATATATTTTTTTTTGGCGATTTTATAATAAATAGAGTAGTACAAAAAGTAGTTAAATACATTATTTTACTGGTATTTGGAAATACAACTGTAAGCTCTAACAAAAACCTTCTCTATTATTGCTATTATAAATTATATTAATATTATTATTGTTATTATTATTATTTATTTATTTATTTATTTATTTATTTATTTATTTATTTATTTATTTATTTATTTATTTATTTATTTATTTATTTATTTATTTATTTATTTATTTATTTATTATTATTATTACTACTATTTCTACTACTATCATCACGGAAATAAAAAATTAAAAAAAATGTTTACATCTCCCTGCTATCATTATTGTTTAGTAATTTTGTTTTTATTTATATTTCATTATTACATTATTATTATTATGTTATAATTGTTCTTATGATTATTAACATGATCATATCGGCCATTACCGTCAACATCATTAATTTTGTTCCAGGAACTAAAGTTACTAATTAAAAATATTATTATTATTATTATTATTATTATTATTATTATTATTATTATTATTATTATTATTAGCATGATAATAATAAACTGTCGACACCGTGATGAACGCTGAGAGAGTGAGAAGAACAAAGGCTCCTCAAGATAATAGGAAATAATCATAGAGCTATTATTCTTATTATATCTCTATGGAAATAATATACTAGACTCCAAATCCAGGCGTCAGAAGGTTTATAAAGTGAAACATGAGTGACCGTCCAGTTTGGTATACTTTATATACCTGTCTGGTTTGTACAGTAAAATAACAAAATACTAGTCTTGACAATAATGATAATGTAACTTCCATTTAGGTTCATTTCATTTAATATGAGCCGTTGATTCAAGCTTACTGTATCTATCTACTGTATTGTTGACATCGGCTAGGATATACCCAAATTCTAATTTGTTTCAGCGGCAAGCCAAGCCAGGCTGGTGGTGGCTAGGCTAGCTAGGGCCTAGGTAGGCCTGGACCCTAGGCCTAGGTGGTCAGGTGACCACCAGACCTGGTTCCATAAAAAGTAAACCAAGCAAAGAAAGCCCAGGCCTCCAAGTAATAAAAAAAAAAAGGTATTGGGCCTAATCTAGGAAAAATATTATAGGCATAGGCCTAGGCCTAGTTTTTCTCTTTTTAGTTTTGGCAAGTCGTGGTGAAGGAGTGCTTGGCCAGTCCTTCAAATGGTTAAGCCCCATGCCATCTCCATGCTGTTGCTGTCACTGTGGATGTATTCCTCTCATAGAAAAGAGCATAATAAAAAAAATATACTCATTGCAACTGTCTTACAGAGTCAGAGAGTGATTATTGCAGAGCGGGGCAAGTTTGTGACTAACACAGTAGAGTTATGTCAGATGTAAAAGTCTGGAGAAAAAGATGAGTGGCAACGTTACAGCATCCGATTTCTATAGAGGCTTATCACAGAATATTCGACTGGATCATGACGTGGATATACAGGTAACGCCAACAGTAAACATTTTAGCTCATCCTACACAGAAAATATTTAGCCACGGGGGAATAACAAACACTTTTATTAGTATTATTTATCAAAAATTCTTTATCATCACTCTATTAAAAAAAAAAAAAAGATTTTACTTTACCGATAATATAATATAGCCTGTTTTTCTAGATTTTATGGTGCATTTTTTTTTCAGGAAGCAGAGAAACCAAAAAAATTTGTGCGCAGTTTTATGACGCAATATGTTCCACAGAAGTGCCATCCAATTCTAGAAGAAGTTCTGACGACCACAAGAGTAGCTGTGGATGTCACAAGAACTAGCAAAAGGAAGGGAAAGTCCTCTAAGGGCAGGCAGAAGAGATTGTCATCTAAACAGAGAAAAGCACTAAAGTTGTTTGATATTCCAAAAGAACAGCAAAGGTAAATACCTCTTATTGCTGTTCCAAGACATAGCCAACAAATATTTGCTTACTTTGTAATGTCTAAACATTGAGGACTCCTATGCAACCAAGCTTCTGAGGTTATAGGATAGGTTTTCCACTTGCTCTCACTTTTTAGTATTGGACCTGCCAAGTGTCCTGAATTTAGCGTAAAAATGCACGCCAAAAAACATAATGTACTAAACGAAGAAATGAATTGCTTAAGATGGTAATTTTGTTTATTTCATTCATTTCCCCTTATTTTCAGTGTCTAAATTTGCATTTATGGCCACCTATAGAGTAGCCATGTTGTTATAATTTTTCCCACCTCAGCCACAGTCATGGTGTGTCTGAAGTAGTCTGGACATCCAGCATTTTTTCCCAAAACCCTGGCAGGTCAAATGCATCTGAATTGGAATTTTGTCTTGTAGTTTTACGAGAGTAAAAGGAGTAATAAATATCAAACAAACAAAACAATTCTATTGAGAATTGAAAATGCTTTCCTTCCAATTGTGAGCATAAGTAGAAGCAGTTGGCGCATCGGTTGTGGTTTGGACTCCCAACCTCGAGGTCAGGGTTCAAAACTCTCGCTGTGCAAGTCGCTTGTGTCCTTGGGCAAGGCACTTTATCTGCGTTTGTCTCTCTACCCAAGAGTATAAATGGGTACCTGGTAGGATGTTGTAGCATTGAATGTACTAATTTCGTGCGCCAAGCAAGTAGGGAACGACTAGGTATACTCCTTCTCTACTCCAGGTACTGTAGTAGAGAAGGTTGCACTTTGTGTGCTGTTTACTATTGTATGTTATCCAATGCCCAGGGCTCAGCGCCTTTGATCATATAATTTGGAATTAGCACTATATAAATATTCAATAACTATTATTATTATTATTATTATTATTATTATTATTATTATTAATTATTATTGTTCTAAAGGTTCTAATTATTATTATTATTATTATTAATTATTATTGTATTATTATTATTACTGTGTTATAATATCAAAATTGTAATCATATTTCAGGTATGATATGTATATTCCTCTCCATCAGCTGTGGCTTGATTATATCAAAGAATATATGCAGACACACCTTGTAAAACAGTGAGTACTAATTAAGTAAGTTATTAATAACTAATCAATACCAGTCCCAAGTAATTAATGTAAACAACTTGTTTGTTCATAAGTTAAATGAGTCATTTGCAGATGTTCTGACTTTCTCAGATGTTTACGAATTCGCGGTTTGCTTTCCGACAAATGATAATATTGATAATTATTTTGTCAAGAGGAAATCAATATATTGTAAGCGATATTCTTGTAAACATTCTTTTTGTTGGGTACTGGGCCGACCGATATGCCTAATGAATCAAAGTTGTTTGTCTTAATTTTACTATAGTGGTGACATCATTGTCGTAGGATATGCGTCATCTGTACGCTTCATATGATGATTTTGTGTGTATGGTATTGATAAACGGTTAAGAAATAGATAATTAGATTTGTTTTGATATTTTCTAGAAATACAACTTTCTCATCTATTAGAATTAAAAATTATGAAATTGTATATTAATATTTTGGATAATTTTTAGGAGCAAAATTAATGAAAAACACTTTTTAAGGATATTTATACACTGCAGTACCGTGGTGTACTCTTCAATAATATTGTTTTAGATTTTTCTGTTAATGTATTATCATTCTTTAGTCCTTTATAAGTAAATCATTTTGCTCTCTTATATTTATATATAGTGTAGTTTCATCATATAACTATAATTATATTAATAAAATAATGACTTTTATATTCATTCTTTTCTTCCAAGAGATATGAAACAATTTGAAGCAAAACTCCTAAAAGCAGATCTTCATGGATGTATCTTGACAGGTAAGTGGATCATTGTCATTTAAGGTGTGTTTACATTGGATTTTATTTTATCAAAATTAGCATTTACCTGTTCAGTTTGATATAATGAAAACGTCCTGTGCAAAATGTATCAGACTGATCATATACTTGCACTTTAAACCAATTGCAAAGATTGATATGATTTGACCAAGGTAGAATTACTGATCGTCTTGGTTAAAATTAATCTAATGGAACTCAAAGTTAGTCTGAATAATATTTAGTTATTATCATGAGACTTAAATAGTTGTAGTGTTCTGTATGATTTGAACTCAAGGCATAAAGGTTGGGAGTTAAGCTTTTCATTCACTAACCATCAACTGGTAGTGCAAGATGTCTTCAACTAACACACTTTTTTGTTGTTTTTTCAACAGTAACAAAGTCAAAGTGCCCGTCATATATAGGTTTGTCAGGTATTCTACTTCAAGAAACAAGACACCTTTTTAAGATTGTCACCAAAGAAGATAAACTTAAATGTAAGATGACTTAAACTGATTGGTCTTACTAATGGTTATTCATATTGTTATTATTATACTGTTAATGTTAATAATTACTTATTGTTATTTAATAGTCATTGATGTCATTTTATTAATATTTCACAACATATGTTATTTTAAAGGTTTTCAATTTTTGGATATTAAATAAGTTTTGTCTTTGTAATATTCAAAACCCTATAAAGTTTATTACTTGACACTTTATGTAACTTGAATCCATTGTTATTGTTTGTTTTGGCAGCAATTCCAAAAGGTAACTCTGTCTTTACATATGAATTCTGTGGTCATGTGGTGGACATTTTTGGCAACCAGTTTAAGCAGAAATCAAGTCAAAGATCAGCAAGGAGATTTAAGACAAAACCAACAATAGATTTATGAGTCTGTTAAAAAAGAATTTGCAAGAATTAACTACTGCATGAATGTTGAGACATCAGTGTTAAGCCATCCGTATCAAAGATGTTTTACACTGTGTGTGTTTCCTGCAACTGTCAGTAGAAGTCTTCTTCCGTCGGCTTCTGACACCAATGATGCAACATGCACCAGACTACTAAACATGAGTAAGATTTTATACATGATTTTCTAGATGTAGATTTCTAGAATTTTATTTTATATAATAGCATCCTGCCTCTTCTGTATGCCTGGATTTAAGTTTTGTTACCAGTGATGATGTGAATAAATGTATGTAATGTGATAACATAATTGTGGAGTTTAGACTTATTTACAGTTGGTATTCTGTTTCATAACGTGCACATAATTCAGCAAAATGTGCACATTATAAGATATCTGCTAAAAAAAAACAACAAATACATTGAAGAAAATAAAGTAAATAAAAATAAAATACAAAGGGCGTGAGACTTGTATTTAAGATAATGATACTTCTAATGGAATAGGGAAAACTACAGCGCATACAAAATTAAACAATGTCTCTTTGTACTGTAATGGTTGTGGAGTGTTTACAGCATAAAACATTGAATATTGTATATGTGCTGTAACAAAATAATTCACAATATGAAAAGCAAAAAGCTGATCAGCATTCATACCATACAACAGTTTCATCTTTAAATATCAAAATTTATTCTCATGTATTAATAATTCTTATATACAGTATTTACAATAATTATATAATATAAATGAGGTTTATTTACTGTTTGATTAAAAATTCATCTCAGTTCAGAGTTCATTGAAGATGAAAATCAAGTCATAAAGATTGTCTAAATATAGTTCTATGAGGCTGTTTGCGTCTCAGTTTGAGATTCATGTCTGGAATGCAATTGGTGATGATGAGTCTTTCCATGATGGCGCTTTTTCAATACCTCCTCCACTCTGTTGTCTTTGTTTTCTTGGGTATGCTCGTCAGTTACAGCTTGAACATTTTCTGTTGGATTTATTTTGTCTTGTCTGACGCCATCCAGTAATTTTTGCAGTAACATTGATGATTGCTTTGGGAGCAGGGAACCTGTCTGCTCCCCCCTCTCATGAGCATGGTCGATGACAGGTGCCCCATCTGCATCTCGTGTTATCTTCGGGTATTTCAATTCCCGGTGTTCGTTGAATGCTATTGTTGGGAACGTGCTTGTTTCTTTTTTCGAAGTAGTATACCAATCAAGAAACAGGTCCTCTGAATCTCCATCAAAGTTCTGTAAAAATTTCTTCCAAAACTGTTTGCATATTTTATGATGTAGGTGTCGTATTGCGTGCTTGTCATCTTCTGCCTGCTCGGCTAGTGATGAAGTTACTATGGCAACTAGGATCAACAGGATTGTAGAATGCATTATGGTGGTATTCTGTTGCGACTCTGAAAAAAAAATCAATTGAAACAAATGATCAGTTACCAAATGTGAAAAACCATTATGCTTAATGCAAGAAAAAATAAATGACACCGCTACAGTTATTGATCTTATTTGAATACCTTTATGTAATGATCTCTTATTAATCATAAAATATCTTCATTGAAGGTTATAGCATAATTTTCATTTGTTGAAGGATGCAGTGTAGGCCCTGCGAACCTTGAGGTTTTCTATTTACTTAACCAATGTATCGCCACCGCAGTTCTTAAAGAACTAATAGTCATCAATAAACATTAACAGCATCAGAGAAGACAAACAAAAGATGCATATTTGATTCAGATACTGAAACAACTTTGCAGTATTGATTCCAAATTGATATTAGATCAATGCACCAGAAGCGAAGGTCTGTGTAGATATCGCACGTTCGTTACAATCAATAATCAACTTAATGACTGATATTTGCTGCGTGATTAGGTAAAAGTACGTGGGGCTTAAGACCTTCAAATCCCAGTCTGCCAACCCCTTGCTGAGCACTCTGAACAAAGGGGAATCTCATTGCTCGCATTCCTCAAATACTTATCACAAAGTTTTCTCACACACACATTTTGCTCCACACTCTGTTGGTATTTTACGAGTGATAGTGGAGCCATGGCAACAGTTATCACAACACTGATTCCTAGTCATTCTACGTTGTCATATTTTTCAAATTTAATAATAAGTAGTTACTATGTATAAAATTCCTTTTAACTATTTGGTAACTATAGGCAATACTTTTGCTTCTCACGTTTGAGAATTAAGTCATTAATTGTAGTAAAAAAATGTTTAGTACTGTACTTTCATTACTTAAACATAATTATTTTAAAACAGTAAATGTTCCAATTTATTTGGTTGATCATTACAGTTTTTTTATGAGTTTGTTTTAAATTAATACACTTGCCACAATTTGATGTTTATGACTTTAGTTTTTCTAGATTTTGTTTAAAAGGAATTTGACCATTGTAATTTTGTTTTGTTTCTTTTTTTTTATTCAAAATGGTATATTTATTCAAAATTCAAAATTCAAATTAAGACATAAAACATAGCAGCCAAAAGGCTGAATTGCGAATTATGTTAACAATTAAAACCATTAAAAAAATCAAACAGCAAAGATAAAAAAACAAGTACATCGAAAAAGAGAAAAATATTGCATAAGGATCGATATTCTATCCAATTCGTCATTATTAAAATTATTGTTATTATTACTATTAATTTATTTAGTTATGAATACTAATATAAAAAAGATCAAAAAACATCATAACAAGCAGATCAAAAAAAAGAGAAAAGGATTGCACAAAGATCGAAATTTGTCATTATTATTATAATTATTATAATTGTCATTATTATTATAGTTAAGAAAAGCTACACTATGAAAGAATCTTGAATAATATAATTTTAAATATTTAAAATAATATTTAATTTTTTTTATATACTTTTTTCATTTTTACTTGATACTTATATTATCACAATTTTAAGTTTCTTCTTATTTTTTAAAATATTCATATTTGAAAATTGAATGAAGATTTTTACTTAATTCAAAGTAGATTATATAGCTTATTTTATTTATTTATTCTTTCTTTAAAGTGATAGCACTTTCAGTGACGCAGCAGTTTTATAAGTGCATCACATGAATAAACAGAAAAAATATGTATAACAGCAATCCAAATCAGAAATAAAAGTCAGATGAACAGAAATTAAAAGGAAAATACAAAGAAAAAAATGATGTACGTCTATGTTAAACAGAATTGTTACAATTATTTTTTTGCTCTTCTGTTGAAAAATGTGCTATAAATATAGCTTACAGAGGTAATGTGAATTTGTAATGAAATTGGAAGTTTTTAATTCTTTCAAAATAATGTCTTTAGTAAAACTAAATTGTATATTTTTTCAATTGAAATTATTTGTGAGGATGTGACCTGATCATAAAAATTCACAATGAATACAGCTATTATACATAACTTTGTTAAACACAATTGTTACAATTATTTAAATTCCTAATTCAAACTTAGCCTTGTGTTTGTAAAAATGTGCTATAAATATAGCTTACAGAGGCAATGTGAATTTGTATTAAAATTATGAGATTTTACTTTTATCAAAATGATGTCTTTAGGAAACTTAAGTTGTACATTTTTCTCATTTGAAAATATGTGAGGACGAGCCTTCCAACTCTGAAGAGCTGATCATAAGAATCTTTAATAAATACAATACTGTATACTGTATACAATACACAGTGTACTGTATACAATAGTAGAGTTGAGATAAAAGGTTTAAACGATAGAATCAAAGAAACAAAACAAAAATTTAATAAATTAGGCAACACATTTTTAACTACAGGTAGAACACAATCTCAAATTTAATACAATATTATTCTTCAATTATTCATATTATTATTCATTTAAGCAGGTTGAGAAAAAAAATGTGCATGAACTAATTAAATGTGTTTTTTGCTTTTGATGCAGCTACAATTTGTAAGTTAATTGTTTGATTTTGATCTTAGTAATAAGGCAAGTTTACTTAAAATTTGCATAAATACAGGTGTTATTGTTACACTTTAATTTATTTCCTTTTTGTGAGTATCTATGTACAGTACAGTAGAAAAAATGTAAAGATTATGAAAAATGAAGTTGATTTACTTATATTTTTTAAATTTTTCCTTTAAAATGAGAATTATTAAAAAAAAGGAAGAAATGCAAGATCTAAAAAGAGGATGAGTTGGTTATTGTACACCTTATAAAAATATCTTACCTTTACTTGTACTGAAAGAGTGCTCGGGAATTTGATGATGATGTGAAGATGTCAAGAGCTTCATAGCAAATGAGAGCAAGTGGCATTTTCAGAATGTAGAATTCATCTTACAGCAGGGGGTAACTTTGATTAAGGGTCTCCACTAAACGAGGCAGAAGATTCTACATAATTGTTCAAAAGTGCTCACAACGTCTTAAAGATAACTTAATCAGATGGAAACTGACAATGTCTTTCTATAGTGTTCTGCCACGATTGATAGGGCATATCATTTACAGTCGATAATACTAATCAAAGCTGTTATTGAATTGTATCGACAGCAATTGCTCACTTAGAATGGCTACGATGAATTCCAGTGTCATTCAATACGCTGACATTGAACATGGCGTTATTCAGTAGTACTAATATTTATATTGTCTAATTTCATGCTGAGTAGTCAAGTGGAATACTATTCTGCAATGATATAATGCTAAATATATACAACATCGAGTCATCGCCCTCAAGGGCGTCGGACCGATTAATAGTCAGCGGTGGTCCATTGTAATTGAGACGTAAAAAAGCTATTGTCTCTAAAACACGTACATGTTGAATTGCGCTAAAGTGGGAAACTTTTTTTATGAGTGTATTGATGTTTGAAATTGATCCAAAGTTTTTGTAGAGATCATTGGATGGTATGAAACACCTCACATGACTTTTGTTTCTAATATGAGGTCCAGAACTATGTTGGTGGGAGGTATTTTTGTTAACGCATTTATGAATTTCTTCTAAAGATCTTGATGTGTGGGCATTTTCAACCATCAGAAAACAAACGTTGTTACGAGACATTGTTCTTCATTGGCTGAATCGTATGTCCTTCGTCAGTATTCAATAAATATTATTTTATTTGAATAGGTAGCAACACCTAACCTACTTTCAGCAATTCAAACAATATTCCTTTTTTCCTTTTGCCGTCAATACAGGCCTGCTCTTAATTTTTTTATCTACTTAATAGTAAACAATCTACCAATTAATTGCTTTATTATGATGTAAAAATTTATTATAATAATTATTAATATATATTCAAAACACATTACTCAAACTAGTGTTGGGGTAAGAAGTGTATTTGTCTAATGTGTATCTATTCATCATTCTAGTACTTCATGCCCATTATGCCCTTAAGCATTTGTTTTGTTTTTTTTTGTTTGAACTATTTTATATGTGTTTCATCATTGTTTTAAAACTTGAGAAGGCAAATTTCATATACGTATTTTGTATAATGTATGACTATGAAATAAATCTTATCTCATCTTTATAAGACAATGTCAGTTTTATAAAAGACACAATAAATGCAAATGTATTTATATCTATGGTTTTAATATTTATCAATGTATTTGAAAGTATCAGCATTATATAAGCACCAATTTAATTTAGCAGTTCCAATTAAAATAATCAAGAAAAGTCAATAGCACTGAAGATTAACCCAAGACCACAAGGTATTCAGTGTATGTTACCCTGTTTAAAAATGGTAACATTCCAACTAACCCATAAGCATTAGCTGACTCAAGGGATCTATAAAAAAAATAATGTTCTCATATTGTGAGTGCATAATTCAAAGGCCTCTATGCACTATAATTAATTTGTTAATGCTTAAATACAAGATGCTGATAATAATAATAATCCTGATTGTATAATATATAATAGCAGTTCTATGACACCTTTAATCGTATTATTAATTAAAAAAAGTGATAATTTCTAATATATATTCCAGGAACACCCTCTATGTTAATGAATAGTAGAGGATAATTATATTTACAATCCTTCATGCAATCAGAAACATGGAATGTTCATTTTTGAATAAATTAATAAATAAAATATAAAAGAATAGGAATATCTTGTTCAAGGTAGAAAAGGGTGGGGTCACTTTTATATTAGGTAATGTTTAAGTACATCTTACAGCAATCATTTCTAATTCTAATTAATGAATACAACTTATATTAAGTATGTTTAATTAATTTAAAGATAGGAAATCATTCTCATAAAATGGAAAAATCTTCCTTAATACTTTAATTAGTAAACTGTTCTAGCTAATTTGTGTTAAACTCAAATGATTTTCAGCTAACAATTTTCTTTACAATACACCCAGAGGACAATGATGAAGGCCATTCCCCAACATAGGATAGAATACAATAGGATAGAAGTATTTTTAATGTGAAACACACAAAAGATAACCCAATAAGTGGGTCTTTCTGGTGGTGATTTTGGACACAATCCTTACTCTTTTCCAAAGTGTCTACTGAATTCTTTAATGTTTACATAATAACCCAATAAGTCTGTTTGTAGTGGGTCCTTCTGGTGGTGATTTTGGAGACAATC